ACAGAACCTGCCAAATCTTAAAAAGAAGAAAAACAAATAAACAAAAAAAAAAACTTCAAATTCATACATAGGGCAACAAAATAAACATGAAATAGATTTAATAAAGTTAAAAAATGGCATGATTCAATTTCTGCAAATCCAAGTTCAATCCAGAATGATGGCACTTCTATTTCCAGCTTGCCCCTCATGAGTTGGAACAGAATTTGGTGAATCTTGAGAAGAAAACATAAAAAAATAAAATAATGATAATCAGATTTAGAACAACAAAATAAACAACAAAGATATGAAATAAAGTTAAAAAAAATTACCTAACTCAAAATCTTCATATTCATTAACCTATTCCATGTCAATGTGGTTGATGTGCTAATAACTACGCAGCCAATTTTGTGAACAAATCAATGCCTCCACCATCTTGGGACTCAAGGAACTCCTAAAGGATTGAGGATGCAGCCTCCGGTACTAAAAACAGATTTTGAGGCTACTGTTGAAACATGAATGGTAAGAATGTCTCAGACAAAAATCATTTTTAAAAATGCGTTCGGTAGTTTTATCAAGAGATTGTTTTCAGTATAAAAAAATCCATTAAATCCATTAATGTCTCTTTCTCCTCGAGAGAGGAGAAAACGAAAATAAAAAAATGAAAAACAACTAAAAGTCATTTTTCATTTCTCTCCCATTTTACACTAAACCAAAAAATCATTTTCATTTCTATTTTTTATCTTTAATTGTGCCAAATGCCGTTTCTCTCCCATTTTCATTTTTCTTTCTCGAAAAACATGAAAAACAAAAACAAAAACAACTCCAAACACAACCAATATGTCAAATAATCAATTTTGTACCTAGGATCAAGTACAACAACCACAAAGAGAAGACAATTTATACTCTCAATATTCCCCCAATACTCGTCATACTCACAATCATGGATGAAAGCATTGAATCCTCTTGTTTGCTTAATTCAGAGAGTTGATTTTACATCTCACGAAGCTCATATGAAAGTAAGAATTTGAAGTGACATTCAAAGTGCCACTAAACTTCAAAGTTATATCATAAAAACTCTTCAGGAATTTCACAAACACCTTAGCATTCTCCCAATCATCATCAAGTGGTGGGCCAATCTTCCATTTTCCCCTTCATCTTCTCGAAAATTAGATACAAACTTGTCATCTTCCTCTTCATACCTCTCAAAAGCTTTTAGAAACTTAATGGCTGCATCTAACATCATATAGGTGGAATTCCATCTAGTAGGGACATCTAGGACTAAGATATCTTTGTATTCAATTTTCTCCCGCTACATACATGACTTGAATTTCAGCAATCTAGCCGGAGAAAACCTCACATACCTCACGGCGTTATGAATGCCAGCAATGGAATCATGTAGGTCTTTTAAACCTTCATTCACAATCAAGTTCACTATATGGGCACAACACCTAACATGCAGAAATTTTCCACCAAAAACAACTCATTTCCACCCCTTAATCTTCCTTTTCAAGTAGGTAATCATGGAGTCATTTGAGGATGCATTATCAACAGTCATAGTGAAGACTCTCTCAATACCCCAAGCATGCAAACATGACTCAATGAGTTTACCAACATTCTATCCTTTGTGGCTTGGAATTTGACAAAAGTTTAGAATCATTTTTTACAAAGTCCACTCACTATCAATGTAGTGTGCAGTTAGACACAAGTAACTAATATTTTGCAACGATGTCCAACAATCATTGTTAGACAAATCCTTTGGTTGCCCTTTCGAACTTCAGCCCTTAGTTTCTTCCTCTCTTCTAAAAAAAGTTGGTAAATGTCCTTAGCAATCGTAACACGGGAGGGAACAAAGAATCTAGGCTGCAACACTTGATAAAAAATTTTAAACCCTTCACCGTCAACAAACCTAAATGAAAGCTCATCTAAAATCACCATTTCTGCTAAAGCTTTTCTACAATTCTCCTTGTTAAAGCCTATGGCAACAAGATTACTGTCGGTTTCAGTGTTGGTTTGGAAACTCAAAATTTTTTACTTTTTATCTTGGATCTTATATGGGTATTTCTTGCATCACTTTTCTATGTTAACCTTCATACTACAAGTGCCATGTCTCCTACTATCACACACAAATGTTACCCCACAATGGATACACTTACACCTAGACTCATATGGATCCCCGCCCTCTATGATTTCAAAATGATCCCAAACTGGAGACTTATTTTGTGACTTCTTCCTCTTTTGACTGTCTCCCACCTCCTTTTTGTTGTCATCTTTAGTTACCAAAATAAGCACAGGGGTAGGGGTGGGTGTCGGGGTGGGCATGACATTGGGTTTTTTAGGTACAAAGGTAGGATTTTTGGTCTGGCAATGACCACTTTCTGTTTCAGTAGGGGACTTACAAGTGCTTTTAGAAGTTTGGGTGGTTGTGGAGGAGTGGATGATAATTTTTTTCATCTAGCACAAAAATAAAATAAAATAAATACATAATACAGATGAGAGAGACAAAGCATAAAGCAATTTTTGGGGAGAAATCTGAAAATTCAAGCTTTAAAGCAAAAAAAAAGGAAAAGAAAATGATTAATTAATATTCAAATGTTATGTTCAATTCGGATGTAAAACCAGAAGCCTCTCCTAACAGTGTACTACATCTCCTAATAGGCTTCTTCTACATCAGCCACAGTTTTGCACTACATCAGCCATGGCTGAACCAAAATATAATGATATAAGCAAAAACTAAACAGCCACAAAGTGGCTAAATAGTTTTGACAATATTTAATTTTCTGGCCTGACACGCCAAAAACGACCTCAGTGGCTAAAATCTTGTAAAAAAATGAAAAAGAAAAATAACCTTTCACAGAAACTAGAAAAAAAGAAACTAACCTTTCACAGAAAGGGCACTTTGTATAAATAGACGAAGTAAAAAGTATTTTTAAGTAAATAAACCACTAAAAAAATTAAATTGGGTAAGTAGCCCAACTTCCACATCAGCATTCCACGTCATCAATTATGTTTTTAGGGTTTTCTTTCTCCTCATCCTCTTCCATTTCGCGCCATTTTCTTCTCCCAGCCACCTTCCATTTCTTCTTTCTTCTTCTCAAGACATCGTCGTGCATAACCTCATTAACATTATTATCTTCCCATTCAGCATTTTTTTCTCATCCAAAACGAAGTTTGAAGAAGAGCTACTAAGTAAGTCTTTCTTTTTCTATATCTCTCATGGTGTTTTTCGTAGTTGTTCGTATGTTTTTAAGATGAGAATGTAGTTAAAAATGTTTAAAATCCATTCAAATAGTAATTTTACATGGTAAAAGACCTGTTTACATTGTCTGATATGATGAAGATATGCTGGGTTTAGAAAAAAAAAGGTTTGTTCTTGGTCGGTTCGTGGTCTGTTCTTGGTCTGTTCTTATAATATGGTCGGTTCGTGGTCTGTTCTTGGTCTGTTCTTATAATATGGTCAGTTTGTGGTCTGTTCTTGGTCTGTTCGGTCGGTTCTGGTCTATTCTAGTCTGTTCTTGGTCTGGTGGTCGGTTCTTAGTCTGTTCTTGGTCTGTTCGGACGGTTAATGGTCTTTTCTTGGTCTGGAGGTTAGTTCTTGGTCTGTTCGGTCGGTTAATGGTCTGTTCTTGGTCTGGAGGTCGGTTCTTTGTCTGTTCTTGGTCTGTTCAGTCAGTTAATAGTCTATTCTTAGTCTGTTCTTGGTTTGTTCTTATTAATTATGGTTTATTCTTAGTCTATTCTCATTTTATGGTATGTTCTTAGTCTGGTCGTGGGATATTTGGTTTGCTTTAATGACATATTATTATGTTGATTAAATTTTTACAGTTTTGAAACCTAAATAATAGCTCAGTGGAGGATTTTTTTTGACATTGGAGGAAAATGGGAGGAGAATGAAAGTTATTGGGTGTGGCATGCAGACTGTAATTTAATTAGCATATATATGGATGAGAAGGATACTCTCGAAACCTTCGTTGATAAGATTTGTAGAAAATGTGGAATTGATGGATAAAAACATTCTTTGCAGTTATCGTGGGTACCGAATTTGAAACAGAAATCGTTGCCCATTGTAATAAAAGACAATGATCATTTGTTATTCTTTAGGGATATAGCCCATGAGGTACCGCTACACGTGATAGTGGATGAGAAGTTTATGAATCCAGAAGAACATATTGATTTTGTCAAAATTAGGAGAAATCCTTTGCATGACAAGTTTTTTTATCGTGATTTTATGGGTATTGTAGCTCCAGATGAGTTTTCGACTCGTAATAATATTCCACCACAGTCGCAACCACAACCAGAGTCACAGCCACAGCAAGAGCCACAACCACTTGCCATTTTAAATGAAGTAGAAGTTGCTGGTCCTTTAGTTTGTATCGACCAGACTGAGTTTGGATCATCTCATGGATCTACCTTCAGTGATGGATCTAGTTTAAAAGTTGGTCAGTACTTTAAAAGTAAGAATGATTTGAAGGAAAAGCTGCATTTAATAGCTTTGAAGGGGAAGTTTGAATTTTGAACAACAAAATCAAATAACGACGTGCTTGTAGTAGAGTGTGTGGATCCGAAATGTGTGTGGCGTATCCGAGCCTACAAACTGAGACTATCAAACATGTTTGTAATCCGCAAGTATAATGGTGTTCACTCTTGCTCGTTAGAAAATCGTTCGGTGAAGCACAGGCAAGCAACGTACTCCGTTATTGGAAGTTGCATGGAAAACCAATTTATAGGCGTTAAACAGGGTCCGGTTCCCAAATCAATTCAGAAATATGCCCGTGA